TACTTAGTATGTAGCCACTTACAATTCTATTAAGCTCGATAACTCCCTGAAAGAGTTAGGTCCTAGGACTTTAATACTACTGTGAGCTAAGTACCTAGGAAAAATAAAATTGAAAATATTTGGCACAGACCAGCTTGAATAGTCCCCTTCACAGTTCCCTGCGCCATCTTGAAAGGTAGCCGTGATTTTGCATCGAAGCGAGACGAACGTACAGTGAGCTTGCAATGATAGAGACCTTTTTTAACACCTTGAACAATTATTCACATGTCTCTATCATTGCAAGGGGTAAGGGCAAAGAAATATTAGGTTTGTTAACTGTAAAGTATGAAGAATGTTTTGTCCTCAAATTTTGCAACCATACATCCACATGGAGCCCTTTGGTGTATTTTCTTTTTCAAGTTCAGACTACATTTTATTCTCTTGAGAATAAGATTCTTTGTTTGAGTTGTATCCATATTCATATGTCTTCTCATGCGCAACCGTTAAACAAAGAAAAAKTACTCAAAAAATGACAAGTCCGAAATGGCAAACATTGCCCAAAATAAAAAAGGCCTAAATATTTCTATACCATTATGTACGTAAGATTTCTTAGCATTGGTCAGTCTGTTGGTCTGTTGCAGAAGGGTATGGATTTATTCCTTAACCGAACTAACTTACAGAAGTTTTAGATTCGATAGTCCCATAAATGAATCTGGACTGAGATGTTGAACGCTATTGGCCAAATATCTAAAAGGAAAAGAAAAAAKWAAATTAAATKAAAAGGTTGCAATAACTTTGGTATTAATCAAAGTTAATATCCAGGTATACTAATTCAATATATAGCATTAGAATTACGACTTGAATTATATGGTATCACGAAAAGAAATAAAACACGGTCTTACAGCCTCTGTAGAACAAAGAGCCCATTGAAAGCTCCTGGTTGGACCGCTTGTATGGGGTTGTATGAAAGATCGCTGAAATTAAATGCAGAAAAGATGCAAGGAAGCAAGGAAGCAAGGAGGCAAGGAGGCAAGGAGGCAAGGAGGCAAGGAGGCAAGGAGGCAAAAAAGAATAGATAGGGGGAAAAAAGCTAAGAGTAGCAGAAAGAGTAGTAAAGAAAACGGGTTGACAGAGAAATAGATTGGTAATGGGAAGAGGGAGGCAGACAAGCGACGATTATCGAGATGTGACATAAAAACGAGGCATCTTCGGGCACAGTTCATAAGGAACCTTTGGAAACCATCGAGTTATAGTCGATTTTTAAAATTCTTGAAGAATTTTCTAAAAATTGAGCTATCGTTTCATCAAAAAGTAATAAACATAATCTATAATTGTTGTACGGTTTTCCATAGCGAACATAAGACCTTGCCCGAAAATTGCAAGTTTTCGAATCTGAGTACGCGATATACTCTTAGCAGCGTTGAGTAGCGAAAAATCTACTAACTGAACTGTACAAAATGCTGTATTTCCACTCACAATTCTACTGGTGCAATCTTGAAACTTATGTTTTCTTCATTGACATATCCTNATGTCCTACAAATGGAGTTGTATTCCAACATAATGCAAGGAGTCTTCAAATTTTCCATTTCAGACCACGTGCCTATCTCTTGAGAATAAGATTATTTGTTTGAGTTGTATCCATATTCATGTGTCTTCTCATGTGCAACCGTTAAACAAAGAAACGACACTCGGGGGAATAATATGATTCTTTGTTTGAGTTGTATCCATATTCATGTGTCTTTTCATGTGCAACCGTTAAACAAAGAAATGATACTCAAGAGAATGACACGTGGTCTGAAAAAGGTAAACATTGCGCCCACGTTTAAGGGAACTATTGATATCCTATAACATTGCCCTCACAGGTGAAGTAATCCAACCAAGTCTTTAAACACTCCAATGCCAATGTCTGTAATTTGACAGTCTTGAAGATAGCTACAGATTAGAATATCATGTTCAAGCGTTAAGTTAAGCGTTGACCAATAAAACAGTACAAAGATACGAGAAATTTTAAAAACTTAACCAATCATATCTTACAGTGTTTCTAAGTTTGACAAGCCATCAAAAATCCCAGGCTTTAGGGACCGCAACAGATTTTCATCCAAATAGCTATCAAAACGAAATGAGAAAATATCAATTACATTATTTGTCAAATTCGTATTTCTTCATAAGAATAATAAGACTGAAATCAAACGTCGAACTGAAAAACTCAAATCAACACTTTACTATAACACTATGCACAGTCTATACTTGCCATCAAGTATCATCATYATCAAATGACCCGTGCGGCCATACTCRCGCGYTCCAATAAAAYATTTGGAAAAAGTCACATGATGGGGGATCGAGTGGGTTGACATGAGCGGGGCGGGAAAATCCGTTCGGCCCTCCATGTTTACGCGCGCTGTAATTATAAATTTCAATTCGCTGCGCTCGGTATGACCTCGGTATGATCTCGGTATGACCTCGGAATTACCTCGGAATGACCTCGGAATGACCTCGGAATGTCCACTAGCCAAATATTTCCCCGTCCTTCCCACTCAGTTGATCAATAGGTACATAATAATACTAACAGCCTTCGTAGATATATGGTTTTGTTGAACGCACCAGGGTCAATCTCGCTTATCTGGTTGAAGCGCAGTGACCTAGAGAACAACATAATGTTAGAGCGAGTTTTTATTAAGTCTTTAGTCCAACTTTCTTCAGTAACTATTTTACATTTCAGTAGTAAGAAATGATAAAACCGTGCGTGCGCTTGAAAACAAAGAAAACGAAGAAAAAAATAATAATAAGATTTGGATATTTTTACTAAAGGGATAGAAGCGGTGTGCAGTTTTTTTATATCTTAGATTTGCGTTATTTTCTTACAACCATATACTTACTGTATGGCATACTGTAACAATAAAATGGTTTCCCATAAGAATGGCAATCGTATGAGTAGGAAAAGTACGATACTGACTTACAGCCCATATACGGTAAGACATGCCGTAACATTGAAATGGCTTCCCATAAGAATGGTTTTCGTATGAGTGAGAAACGTACGGTACTTACTTACAGCACGTACATGGTACGACATGCCGTAACATTGAAAGGGTAAAACTATGGTAAAACACATTATGGATCCTAATTTCGTTTCCTATACTTATATGAATTGAACACCACTCTAAAACATCGGAGCACTGTTGACTTACAAGGTCGTAATGCGTTTTAATCCATTCAAAGAATTCACTTGAAGCCGTTTAAAACTGTTGAACGTTATTGTTCTGTTAAATAAAAATAAGAGTGAAAATTATTGCAGATGAAATAAGAGTGAAAATTATTGCAAATGAAATATCAGTGACACGGTTTGTTTAAATCATGCACGAGTGTCTATGACGTTCTGAAAACAAGAGCGCTTAGAAAATACGAGAACAATTGA